GGAGTCTAAACCCCTGGCTATTCCATTTAGAACAATGGTGGCATAGGGAGCAACTGTAACATGTTTTTTTTTTCTCAACATTCTCTTTTGGGGAAAAACTCTGACTTTTTGAGAATTTCAGTTTAATGCTCCTATGAAAAACGAACCAAGTGCTGATTTGGATTTTGGTTGGGTTTTTTCCTTGTGATAAGGTTTAGGTCTACACCTCACCAAAAGAAAAAGAAAATCCAAGAGATAAGGAGGGGCCATTTGGACACCCCCTGTGTGGCCTTACAAGAATGTCACAGTTATTCATTGGAACAAACTTGATACATATGTATCCCATTTTCCTCGCATTCTACTAGCCAAATTTAATTACAATACTGAATAGGCCTTTTGGTTAATTCCAAAGAAGTTGTTTATAGGTTTAACGATTTACTCCAATACATACAAGTTAACCGAAAGGCATACTTGCCAACTCTCTCCATTTAGGAGGGAGACTACCGATTTTGGAACCTTAAATTTAGCATTTTCAACCAGTGGATTTGCTCAAATGTTCCTACATTCTAAGATCTCTAATTATTTTATCTGAAAGAACAACTAAAACTATGTCATTTAAATGCTTACATGTATTTTGTCTCTATGGGATATATACACACATTTTATCTAGGTTTTAATTTTGAGCATGCACAATCTCCCCCGTGGAAATTTCAAAAAGGTGGCAAGTATGGAAAGGGGGCACTGATGTATTAATATTAGCAATTAAACTAAAGTATTGAGCTGATTTATTAATTAACATTCATTATTATTTTAATATTGGAAAGTTCTTTTCTAGCATTAGAAATTAATTTTGAATTATAAAAAAATTTGTGTGATATGTATATATGCATATTGTAATATTAAAAAAAAAGTAAAAGGATTTATTTTTTTATTAATATTAAAAATTATTTAAAAATAATTAATTTCTAATATAAAAAAAAATGCCAGGGACCCTTTTCCAATCTGGCTTGCTATAGCAATGTAAATATCTAAACATTTAACAAAACAACAACTGCATCTTGTGATATACCTGAATGCGTTTTCGTAAATAATGCCCCCCATCAATAAGTAATGAAGTTAGACACATGAAATTAATTTTGAAATGAAAAAATGAAAATGGGACAGGACCAGGTAGGGGCCGGAACTACTTAGTTATGTCTAAGTCCGTGGTATGAACGACGAGGGACGCTAACAACTTTGGTCTGGAAAGCGGTCAACTTTCTATCTCACGGGCCTCTTACATGTACCTTACAATAGATTTGCTTTCTTAGCTATAAAGTTAACTTTTATTTTTTTGATGCAAAGTCTCGAGAGCGAGAATCTGGGAAAAGCGAGGGTAATATTAAAACGAAAGTAGATGACGTCATCATATCTTGTGTCGGATCACGATCGATCGCGAGCTGCCCATTGCTGTAGACAGTGCCTGATTTCAAATAATCTCGCCTTTATGCAGGTAAAACAGGACATATCCCGAGCCTCGTGGCATTGTGAATAGAATGTAGATATGGGTATGTTAGAAATGCGTTTAGTTAGACTTGAATGTGTTTACTCTTCCCGGGAAGCAAAATTCAGTTGGTTGTGTAGTAGTGGATTTTCAGCATAGGAGCCTGAAGTTCAAAATATTTTTTAAGCATATTAGGGGTATTTTTTGTGTATTACTATTATTATTCATTATTGACAGAACTTCAGGCTCCTATGATTTTCAGGTAACCACTCCTGGAGTCCTGGGTTCCGTAGATTATGCTTATGACATATATGACTGCGTAACAAAAGGAAACAACGCCGTAATTATGCAGGTCTCTGTTGACTCCCGGGTCAAGTTTAGCCTGGANCATATCCCGAGCCTCGTGGCATTGTGAATAGAATGTAGATATGGGTGTGTTTACTTATATGACTGCGTAACAAAAGGAAACAACGCCGTAATTATGCAGGTCTCTGTTGACTCCCGGGTCAAGTTTAGCCTGGGAACTGACCGAGAGTCATCAGAATCCGTCGTTCGCCGTCGTATTGTGTGTATTGCTTGTTGTGTATAATGTCGGGGGTCGTCTCGAAGGGTATTTTGTGTAAATAAATTCGTTCTGTACATAACTACGGCGTTGTTTCCTTTTGTTGCTCAGTCATACATGTCATAAGCATATTTTACGGAACAGTAGTAGGACAGGGATTCATTATTGAATTTGTCAAAATTATGTAGTGCCATAAAGAAAATCATTTCAATTTCTGCAGGTATAATTTATGAGATTTATGATTGTAACAAATATTTCAATTTATTTTTCATAAGTTTAAAAATATGAAAAAATAGTAGTCTAAATAGTAATCATGTAAAGTTCTTAACTTATCAATCAATTTTATAATGAATATGACACAAGAACCGTCAAATAAAATAACATCTCATTTTGATGAAATAATATATCATCATCATATTTGACCAATTACAACTTATTCTATTCATATATATATTATTACGAGAAATTATACCATCTTATATTCATATTATAAGGTCAAATCCTTAGGACCTTTTGTTATCTAAGTAATTAAGATCTATACTAGAGGACCCCATTGGAAATAAGCTGCCACCCAGCTTTCATGGGATATCCTAGGTTAAAGCTTAGTCAAACAGATACATTGTAATTATAGTGCTCCAAAATTTGTGATATTAACTTTGATGTGATAAGCTAAATACTGTGATAAATCTGTGATTATTATGCAATTGAAATCTGTGATCATATGTGATATTTGTACCTGTATCTTGCTTTTACCGAATAAATATTATTATTA